AGTAGGACAGTTACAATAATTAATACATTGCGTATTGTTGTCTTCGTAGTAGTTACTCATAGTACAAGATGCAGACATGATCTCCTGTCTATACACTATTAGTACAAATCTTACTTCTCACACATCACGTTGAGTATCAGTCACTCACCTGGCTTTTTCTTTGTGCCACCCTTGGAATTCTCCCTGAGGAGCTGACTTTAATTTTCTGCTTTGTTTCAAGACTATATTAGATCTCTCTCTCTCTCTCTCTCTCTCTCTCTCTCTCTCTCTCTCTCTCTCTCCATTCTGAGAATGAATAATTAGCCAGTAGAAATGAAATTTAAAAATTAAACTTTTTTCACAGATTCCCTGCAACTCCTCAGCCCCCATGGGCAACACAAAGGGAATCTCCCATCTGGCCTTCACGTCATGCTGTGTTATATGTCGTTGCCCGAAAGAGGAACCGCACTCTGGACAACGTCAACTAGAACAACACGCTGAGTGTTATAAATCTATTCTTCTGTCCCTTCAGGGTGAGATTTCAGTGTTCTTGGAAGAAGGACAAAAATTTTTCATAGCCTGGAGCACAAAGAAATCTGATGAGTTATACGCTGATAATTGTAGCATTTAGGACTACAAAGGCCCAAGCGTATGATTTAATTGCTTTTATTTTAAGATGAAGAAGATGAGACATAAGCCTAATAATTATGAAGCCTGCAGGTTTAGGCAGGTCTAGTTTGAGTCTTCTGTTAGGACTTTCTCTAATGCCTTATCCTCTGAGTATGCGCGCTGGAATGTACAGTCCACCTCAACTACCCTGCTCTGAATTTCAATGAATTAAAGTTGCTCCTGCTCACAGCGTCTCCTAATACCATAGTTTATTCTTTTCTGGTTTGTTTTCTTCTATCTTCCTTTTTCTCTTATTCTTTTCTCTCTTTCTCTCTCTGTCTCTGTGTCTCTGTGTCTGTCTCTTGTTTCTCTCTCTCTCTCTCTCTCTCTCTCTCTCTCTCTCTCTCTCTCTCTCCTCTCTCTGCTGCTTCCTGTGAATTTCTCTGGACTGTGGTCCCTGACTCTGGCCTTCTCACTTTCTTCTCAGGATGTCTTGGATTCCAAACAAAGAAGATACCTGCCTGTCCCACAAGTAGGAGGTCAGGAGAGTGAAAGTTGGCACCTCTTTAATAGACTATGACTGCTGCTTCAAAAATTGGTCTTTCTTTTTATAAGGATTTTTTTTGTTGTTGTTGTTCCTCGAATGTCTTCAGGGCACTTTTGGCCAGCGGGAGAGTTGTGAGGTTCGAACTCCAGCAACCTGAGGCTGACAGCTTTGTGGAAGCAGCCACTTAAAGGACTGAGCTAGGGCCAGGCCCCCCGGTCTTTCTTTTTGTTCCCACAAAAAAAATTTTTTTTTTGACAAAATTAGGAGGAACCTGCCAAGGCCTTCAAGTCATGCTGACACATAGTCCTAGATGACTTAGCACAATCTGACTGATTGCAAAACTAAACTGAACAAATCCAGAAGTACTGGAGTCCACCTACCATCTTTAAAAAGTGTTCTCCACAGTAAGCTGTGCGTGCTGTGAAATGTACACCTTACACTGAGCCTGCTCAGAAATGTGCACCTTATACTGAACATGCTCAGAAACATTCACCTTACACTGAGCGTGCTCAACTGTATGCCTGCCTCCCATGCTTTCCAGTGTGAATATAAATCATGCAGAATAAAACTCCCATGATGCCTTTAGCCAGGGGGAGGACTGCTTTACAAATAACCCTAGTGCCCACCTTGCTGCAAGTGATGAGCCCTTC